GAAGGAAATCCAGGCCCGGATTTCTAGAAAGAAAAAAAAGGTGGGGCCAACCAAATAATAGGCAAGACCTCCGTGATGACCAAGATCTTGTTTGTCACGCGCCTTCGTCTCCATCACGACTCACTCCCTTTCTCACGTCTTTCTTTCTCTCTCTACTTTTGCCTCACTATATAATGTCGTGTCCGCTCGCCCTCTACCCTCATCACTCATCACCGCCACTTGTTTCTGCGTCTGAAAGACAAACTGAATAAACCCTAACCCTAGCCCTAACCGTTTTTCTCACATAATGGAGGAGTTGAGTACCAAGAAGCGAGTCAGGGATGAGCTAGCCGAGTCGGATGACTCGCCGGAGGTGAAGAGACTCAGGGAGGATTTGCTGTGTTCAATTGATGACTCGGATCCTGACGTTGTGAGTCAGGACCTTGACTCGGTGATGAAGAGTTTTGAGCTCGAGATATCTGCATCGTCTTCCCCGCCGGTTCCTGTTGTGGATCTGACATTAGATTCGGCGGAGTCGCAGCCGGATCTAGGTTACCTTCTGGAAGCTTCGGATGACGAGCTCGGTTTGCCTCCTCCTACGGCTACCGCAGCTGCCGGAGAGGAGGTTAAGAATGAAAATGAAGGTACAGAGTTGGTAAGGGTAGAGTCGGACTCGTCTGGTATCCATGAGTTGTGGGGGTTAGAGGATCAGATCCCGACCTATGACTCGTTCGAGATTGGAGTCGGAGAGAATTCCAACGGCGAAGACGTGGCGTACGACAATTTATTTGAATTTTCAGATGCTTATTTCGAGTCTTCCGATTATTCCAGTTTCCTGTGGCGGCCGGAAACCTTGTCGGCCGATTAAAGGAAAACTGGACGTATTAAGGAACACAGGATTACTCCAATCTGTGAACGTTTTCTCTAAAAGGTTTATTAAAAAGGGTTTAAATTTGGTACAGAATTAGGATTAGAACTTTAAGATAATGTAATAACTAGTCAGGCGTTTTGGGATTCCCAAATTGTAATTTTAAGCAAAGATGGGGGTATGCCTACACACAGGAAGTGTCTTGAGAAAACTGTTCTAATTTGTTTGGATTAATAGTGATAGCCGTTTATCGATTATTATTTATAAATAGCTGTTAATTAGCAGATTCAAATCAATTAATAATTTTTTAAAATTTTTTACATGTGTCTTTTAGGAAATATGATAAGTTTTATTAGATATAGTATTTTTAATTAATTTAACATAAAATTTTATATTAAATTTAATTAAAATATAATATAATATTTATATTCAAAATTGATAAAAAAAATTATGAATTTGACATAACAATTTGGATAAAATTAATTAAAAATTTTATAGGTAATAGAGATTAACTTGTGTCTCTTGGACAAATCCATAATTTTTAAATACTATAATTGTTGTTTAAACAAAAATAAAAAGCTAAGGATGTTTTATAAGTTGGTACTTAATAATTAATATTTAGTTATTAATAATTAAAAAAAATACATATCAATCTTAAAAACTTAAAAATAATTAAAATTTTAACTTTAAATTATTTTATTTTATTTAATTAAAACTTAATTTAAATTTTTAAAAATTATTTTATTAAATGTTAATAATTAGATTTAGAAACTGATTATATTTAAATATATAATGAATTTTTATATTTAAATATTAATATTTAATAAGATAAAATTTTAATTTTTAGATATATATTGAGACTTTAATTATCTTTAGAAACCCAATATGCACTAACATTTAATAATTATTATTGTTGAAGTATTTAGTTTACTAAATTAGAAACAACAAAAATAAGATATTTTTAAAATAAAATTTTAAAACAAGTGCCATCGAATTTATGTGATTATAACATATTTATAGGTAGTAATAACAAATACAACCCTTTTTTGGTATTACCCCATAAAATTATGGGAGCCTTTTCTCTTTTTTTTTTTTCTTTTTTTTGTTAAGCACCGGCGCCTTTTCTAACAAATCGATTTTCATTGCTTCTAATCCGGAGCCTCACTAATTAGAATCAATTTTGTTTTTTTACAACAGTAAGTTATATGACTTATGGTAGAATTGTTTATATTTTTAAACTTATGATTCTATCACTAATTTTTATATACTAAAAAAATTATTTTTTAAGTTGTTGGAGCCATCACCCCATGTTTTTTATTTTTCATTTTTTTAGAGTAAGAACATTTAGATTATAAATAAAATAAGTGCACTCTAACTATTTATTATTCACTTATAAAAAAAATCTATTATTCACTAAAATAAATCGCTAATACAAACAAACACTTAGTTGGATTTTATTTGGAATTAGCGATGGAGTCTATCTACAATACAAAATCTGAAAAATTAAATATAATTAATTAATCCATTTTAATTCCATAAGAGATCCTCTTTTTTCCCACTATATTTTCATTTTAAGTGGCCCACTAATTTTAAACCAGACTTGACCTGATGGGTGGGGAAATGCCCAGAGAGCTTTAATGGATCAAGCTCAAATTATAGAGAAAAAGTCCAACCATGCCTGCCCAGCTGACATATAACCTGGACCGGCGTAGGCTCGACGTTGACTTGTGGATGGTGATTGGGAATTGTTTATCCCCTTTCTCTCAGTAGAGGTCTGTAGAAAGCGAAACAAAAGCAG